ATGGATGCAAGCAAGTAAGAAGGGGAAGCCTTATCAACATGAATCACCGTTCATGTTCCAGAAGTTCATGTAATGGCTTAGACTCTGTCTTTGTCAACTGATGTTTTGGTTCCATTGGCTTTCAGGAGAATTTAGCCAAAATCCATGCCTGTGGTCGGTGGGTGCTCGGTTGTAGACCAGCACGTGGCTGCCATACCGATCCCGGCAAGCCAACTCTCTTAACAATAATAATAACAGTAACAACCAACAAGATAGTAAGAGATACAATAACAGGGATAATGAACAAGAGTATTCCATCACGATACATCCGATAGCCCTCTTTCAATTCTAAGGACACTCTCCACTTCAAAATCTACTCCGGAGATGACAACATCGATAAGTGGAAAACCATAAACCTGTCAGGTTTCAAGGTTTAGTTTAGTTTTAAACAGACACCTCGGATCACAAGACAGAATCAGGTGGGCTCAGATGCCACCGTCTCTGCTTATGCATTCGACGTGACTCGGCTATTCTGCCCATTAGAGGACTCCGAAGGAAGCAACTATGGAGGCTGCTTAAAAGCGCTGCTATCAAAGCATCTGGGTACACACCGGACATGCATGAAGGTGTTCAGAAATGGCTCGGGTATTGTTTCTGGACCTCGGAGGAGGGTTCAGGGTTCGGTGTGTCGGATCTGCTGTGCCGACGTGGGGGTCTGAAGAATGACCATGGTAAACCCTCCCAAGCGGATATGAATTTATGCGTCCATGGCGTCTAGACTTTGTAGTTTCGAGGGTTTCGGGAGTTCAAGGTCTTGAGGTCCTTTTTTAAGGAATACAGTCCAACCCCCCACCCCCAAAAGGCAACAAACAACCGACACCATGAACCTGAAGTGCTCCAAGGCATCTTCAGGCAAGATGAAACTGTTGAACAGCGTGGAGACCGGCGGTGCAGTTGCCTGCCATGATGCTCGGACATTGATTAGGAGTTTGGGGGGCGGTTGAGTTGATGCGTCAGTACAGAAGCTTCCGAACGTAAGCACTCTGTTTCTTACAACCTGTGACTCTACACCACAGGGGGCTTCAGGAGAAACATGTTGGTCGGAACAAGTACTAATGCTATGCCCTTGTACCCCCTATATTATAGTCGTGTATAGTCGGTGTAGAATCTACTCCCCCACGCCCAATGAGACTCTACCGCCTAAATCCAGACCCCAAAACCGTATTCGCTAAATCCTTGCACAACCTCTAGTGAAGCAGCTCACATCCTGAACGAGCGGTGTGAGGTCTCTTTATCGCGTGCCTTGCCTGATTCTTTAAAAGCGGGGTTGGGTTTTAGGTTGGGGTCCCAGGGAAAAACGACTTGGAACTGAGGGTTTGTCGGGTTTTCGGGTGAGGAGTTAAGGATTTAAGCATGGAAGGTTTGGGGTTTAAGGTTGAGGCTTTTAGATTGGGGTTGGTGCTTCAGGGCTAGCATGCGAGATTTTGCAGTTTGATTATTAGCTGTTTTCTATGTTGGTTTAAGTTCTGGGATTCATGGCTCTCCAGGAATTCAGTCGTGCGGCAAGAGGCGGACATGACTGCCAAACCCTGAACCCGAATCCCCGAATCCTTAAACGGTGAATGAACCTCTTACGTAGAGGGGTGCTGCATGGCGTGTCTCGCCTGGAGTAGAGGGGTTCCAGTTTAGGGTTTGGGGTTTGGGTTTAGAGTGTTCAATGTGGCTTGAAGGCCTTGCCAAAGCAAGCAAGCATCCCTGGCACCAATCCTGCCGAACGAGTGCGCATCAATCATCAGATATGATACCCCTTCATTTCCTTGATGTAATCGTAGGATAGAATCACCACGATTCCAATTATTAAGGTCGCCCTCAACAAATCTTTCAAACTGGTTCTTACATGGTCGTCCGAAGAGAAAGCCGAATCCATCAGTACCCGAAGCGAAAACCCAAACAGGGATTAAGTAAGGTTTAGGGCAATCGAACCGAAAGAAGCCTCCCTAAACAATAACGCTCAGTCTCAAGCATCTTCAGGGACAAATAAACCCTAAACCCTAAACCCTAAACCCTGAGCTGTTTAAACCCTAAACCCTAAACCAAAGAGCAGACTTCAAAAAGGAGCTCAACAAAAAACCCTAAACCTTAGGGTTTAGGGTTTAGGGGTTTAGGGTTTAGGGTTTAGGGTTCATAACTTAAGGAACGTAAACCCTAAATCGTAAACCGCAAGGCCTTTAAAAAACAACGTAAGGCAATGAGCGCATCCTCGCCGTTGCGAACTACATGGGATCGGCTCTTGGTCTGCGATGGGTATCTTTTTTGGGGATGTATTCCGCTGGTTGCAGGATTTCTGGGTTTTGTGGTTTAAGGATTTAGGAGTCTAGGGGTTTAGGGATTTAGTGGTTTAGTTTCGGCTTTAGGGAGTTTCGGGGTAAGCTTTGAGGCTTATAAAGCATCGAAGTACTTCAGGCCTTCATAAGGTTCAGCTTGGTGGTTGGGCGGTGGGACGGAGCTTTGTGGGAGGGCAAGCTTCGGTCACAAAGCGAACATGAGGAAGCTACTGGAGATGCAACTCTATCCAAAGGCGAAAACGTGCCCGATCAAACCTTGAGCTTCACTGACAACCCAGCAGCCCCAAACGACCCTATACGCTAAAAAACCTAACCCGTTTAAAATCTAAAACTCCAAACCACTCAAACCCTAAGCCATAAAACCTTCAAGCTCAAAACCCTAAACTCCTCAGCCCTAAACCCCTAAACTCCTAAACCCTAAACCCTAAACTCCTAAGCCTTAAACCCTAAATTCCTACACCCTAAACTCCTAAGCCCTCATGTTATGTCTCTGTTGCACTGCAGGTGGGGCTCTTCCGGCTGCAGGCCGACGGCCGACTGGTGGAGCGAACTTGCTTGCAAGAGCATGCGCCCTGGCAGCCTCAGCTTTCGGGAGGTTTTCTGTTTACGGTTTTGGCGTTTTGGGGGGATTTAAGGGGTTTAAGGGCAAGGGGTTTAAGGGCTTAGATTTTATAGGGCTTAAAGACTTAAGGTTTAAGGGGTTTAAGGGCCTAGAGTTTATAGGGTTTAAGGACTTGAGGTTTAAGGGTTTAAGGGCTTGGGGCTTAGTGGTTTACGGGTTTTTGGCGTTTAGGGGTTTTAGGGCTTAAGGCTCAGAGTGTAGAATGGTAGTGTTGCAACGTAGTTGAAGCTGTTGCAGGTACTTAAGTTTGTTTGCCTTGTCGTTTCGGCTGCAATATTGTGCAGGTTCTTGCTTTCAAGATTGCGAGGGATACCCACTGGTACTAGTCGACGGATGCATGCATGCTAACCACGTCCAGGGCAGTCTAGATGCGGCCGGTGGCTGTGTTCATACAACACGAGTAGGATTTCCGAGTCGCGAAACATAAATGCAGGAAGAAGAGCAAGTTCAGTTCAGACGATGCACCCCTGAAACAGCAATTGCGACGTTGGCAGCGGGGATTTTGGAGATGGTTCTTCAGGTATAGACTTGAATTGTATGCAAACGCTGGTCATGACCAAACCCTTCGACTTGTGACGTGCGTGGGGGGGGTGTGGGCTGAAGCGGGCTTGGGGGCACCCCGTTCGGGAGCCGGTCGCTGCAGTAAGTAATGTTGTAGGGCTTGTATGGTACGACCACTATGAGGCATTGCCATGTGGACTTCTTGGAATAGGGATGTATATTTTTGCCGGGCAACAGAAACTTCATTTGTTTTATGTTTTTTGGATTGAGAACTGTACTTTAGCCACCGATTATTTTGATTTCCCACACCAAGATGTAAAACTTTTTGACTTTGTCGCAGAACTTTAATTACTATTGGGCAGTTTGTTCCATGTGGCATGTCCCTGGTAGATTGATTTTCACTGTGCAGTGCATTAGGCGGTTGATCATGAGAGGTGCCTGCATGCACTGTGTTGCACGATAGATTTTTGCGTTTTGCCTGCATCGACTCATGTGACGCATGCCGCTTCAGTCTTGCATGTTGCCCGTATGAGGTCATGTGCAAGGGCTATGATGCATGAGCATTTGTTCTTGAAATCTTGCTGCCTGCATTACCATATCGCATGGTAGCGTATTTTGGTGTTTCTTTTTTCCTGCATCTGCATGAGCTCATGTGCAAGCGGCATCATGTGCATTCATAGCATTCTTGCATGCTGGCTTGAGTACTGTTATCACGGTGGCATTTTGCATGCCTCAGCTAGTGTGCCTGGTTCTGCTGCAACTTCTTTGCTGGCACCCTGTTGCGCCGTTGCGGAGTGCTGGCACGAGTTCAGGTGCAGTGTGTGTTGCCTTTGCGTTGTGGCTCAGGGGTCGCCGCGGCCGATTGCAGCTTGCTATGTAAGTGCTTTTGGGCCCAGGGGGTGCGGCTTGCTTGCGCACCTGGGATGATCCTGCTGCGCTGGATGTAGTGCGTGTGTGCACCGTGGAGGTACAGTATCTCAGTATCTCTATTGCCACTGCCACACTGCGCTATCGTTTGCAATGCTTAAGCTGCTTATACTGTCGCTTAGCGTAGCTATGTTTGCGCTGCTCAGACTACATGCTTTCGTTGCAGTCCCTGGCAAGCACTGGTCACTAGACACTACACGGTACTTCAAGCGCGTGGTGTCGACGGTTGCCGCATGTGCCACATGTGCAGTCATGCAGTCAGGTTTGCCGCAGTTTGCGTCTGTTGCAACACAAGCTTTTGCTCATGCTCATGAATGCTCATGTTGACTCATGTTTGGTTGCCGCACGCGCCTCTGCTCGTAGCACTTCCAAAGTGTCACACTGTCACAATCAATCAACTACTTAGTTGGGCTGTAGCTTCGTTGCAAGCCACGGACTGTAGGTAGACGTATAGATTATAGGATTGCACAGGACCCTCACGTGTTTCAGTTTCATTGATTTCAATCACATAAGATAATCACATGCATGAGAGCATGCATTATGAAGTTCATTGAAGATCATGATTCATGACGCATTTTAAGCATTCATCGGGTAGGCTTTTGCTGACCGGTCTCCCTGTCTCACTCATGGCGGCCCATCCCGCCATTTCGTCAGTGTTATTTGCTCTCGGGCAAAAAGTTAGAACATCCAACGTTGGCGGGGTCATATCCAAGGCGGACTTGCTTGACGTGATCGTTGTATTTTGCGATTCGGAGGCATCGGCTTCGAATGCGGTTCAACGTACTCGTGAGGTGGTGCAACGTAGAGTGAATCGTTGGTTGAAGACGAACTCTCCGGAAAGAGCCGGCTATCTACACATTGTCGACGGTCTCCGGGCACCGCTCTCTGTGGAGTATTTTGGTCCTGATGTTGTGGTGGAGGTGCTCCGGCATTTCGGAGCCGTTATCACAGATGAGTCTCGAGGTGACTTTGTGCACAGGATGCAAGGGAGTGACAGTGCCACAGGAGAGGACATGGCAATTCATCTTGATCCTCACCCGGCTCCTGCTTGCCCAAATGCACCCATCAGTCGCATGGGTTCCATGGAATCCGAAGGGGCTGCTCGGACTGCCCGTGATGATGATGATGCTGAGAGTGGTGCTGCCGCTGCTGCTGCTGCCTCTTCTGGCACAGATGCAGTTGCGATGTTTGACCCTGAATTTCATCCTGTGCCTGCTGGTCCTGCCGTTGCAGCTGCAGAGGGAGAAGCGGCCGAAGATAATGTGCACAAAAGAAAAAAACGCAGGGTTAGGGGCAACAGTGATTCTGTGGCAACACTCTTTGATGAGTACAAGCAGAAATATCAACATTATTCCCACGATGATCTTGTCAGAGAGGTCATGTTGCATGAGAAGAATTGCACCCAATTTCGAGAAGACAGCTTGGCCAAAGATGGGACCATACAGAATCTGCAGAAGAAGTTGAAGACTGCACAACAACAACTTCGGCGAATAACGAAGGCCAAGACGAGAGCGAAAGCAAGAGCAGCATCAGCAGCACCAGCATCCACAAAAAGGAGAGCCAAAGGACAGCGACAGCAGCATGAAAGCAACACCTTGCCAGACTACCTTCGGGCTAAGCAGAAGTTGGCGATCACGCGGACAGGCGCGGGTGAAGATGCTCCAGGTAGATACCTCACGGTCCCTAGTACGGTGGCCCTGGCTTTGAGACGGAACTTGAGCAACGTGTCCTGTGCTGACCTGGGGTTGGTAATTCTGGACGACGCTAGCAGGTGGAGTGTGTCTAGGTCAGAGGTAAGGGCTGGGGCAGCTGCCACGGCTTCAATGCGTGAGTGGCATGCAGGGATGCTCCAGGAGATGTTTCATCCAGATGGTGCAGAGGATTTCAATCTGTCTTTGCACATCGTGTCCCAAGATGCAACGAATTCTGGAATCTGGCAAAAGCGCAAGTTGATTGCTCTTTTGTGTCATTCTGCCTATTTGGTGTCGTTGCCGTCCAAATTCAGATGGTCCTGGCATGACATGTTTCGCGAAATTCGGACCATTGCAGATGTGCAACCAGTGGAAGATGGAAGCGGCCAAGGCTCTGTTTCGATGACGACAAAAATGCTAAAGAGCATAAACTGCCCGACAGTGCATGACTTGGTTGCCAAGCATGCAGAGCTTAAAGCCGATGGTCAACAGCGTCAACAGCATCAACCCTCAGATGAGAAGCCCGCAGACGCAGATGCGAAGTTCCTTTGCGTAGAGTGGCAGCTGTAAGTCCGTAAGTAAGTTTTGCAATGTGTGTCGTGCGTTGATTTCGTGAGTTGACGTGTTTTTGTCTATCGGGAAACACGACAACATGACAACATACCCACTCCACATCTGCCCAAGTCCGGCCTGAGTCCTAAACCGAAGCCAAGACCTAGACAACCTAGATTGCCTAGTAGCCTAGACTGCATCCGCCTGTCTGTCTATGTTTATGTTGTCTGTACATTGCTGCTAAGGCGGGCTGACGACTCTGTCCAGTGGCCTGTCCATGTCTATGTCTTTGTGACAGACAGAGGACCAAATGAAGTTCTTGCGCGCAAGATATGGCAGTGTGTCAGCTCTGCATGTGAGCACGTGGTGGTGCTAGGAAGTGATTGCCTGGAGCATGCAGCTCATTTGGTCACAGTCAGCTCACTTAAGCTCGTTGACAAGCTCTTGCCATTGCAATTCGAAGGGAAAGGTCGTGCATGGAAGTACTTTTCATCGCTTGCGACTTTCTCCATCACCGTGCGGGATTCATCCAAAGACTTTTTCCAGATGTGGTGTCAAGAACACGGAGATTTGTCCGGTGTCAAGCACGCCAAAAGTCTTTGGCCGAAGTGCGTGGCAGGACGTTGGAATTCCTGCAGCGACGTTGAGCGTCGAATGCACGATTCTGGTGGGCAGGCTACGGTTTTACCGGTGATGCGACGACTCATGGGAGCCAAGCGCGAGGCGGCGCCAGCTAAAGAACACCAGAGCATCGACGAGATTGCTGTAGAGGAGACTGCTCATTACACCCAACAGATGGGCAGGTGGCGTGCCACCAGCCTCAAATGCGTGGAGGACCCGTTGTGGTGGACAGTAGCTGAAGCTATGAGGATGGCACGTTCGCCTGCACTGCACCTCTCGGTTCCTCGCGGCTTGCAGTCTGCAGCATGCATTGTGACATTGTGTGGCTGTGTGGCTGTGGCAATGCAATGCTTATAAAGTCTTGTAGTGATCTGTGATCTGTGCGCAGACAGACAGACAAATACGAACAGATGCGCGCCCGCCCGCCCGCGCGCACGAACACACACACACACACACACACACACACACACCACACACACACACAAACACACACACACACACACACACACACCGATACCCACACACCCACGCCCACACCCACACCCACGACCCACGCCCACGCCCGCACCCACACCTAGACGCACATGCAGCACATGCACACGCACACCCACATGCACACGGTGCACACGGGCATGTGCTGCTGGATGCGCCTCCGCAATGCTTGCCTGCAGTTACTGCCTGCAGTTGCTCAATCGTTTTCGTCGTAGATGTCCGCACATGGCACGCGGCAGCAGCAGTCATGGTCGGTCATGGTGACATGCCATCTTTTGTTGGAAATCTGTTATCTGATGTTGAACTGTTGCTTGTTTAGCCACGTTTCATGTAGGGTCACGGTCGCATGTGCCTGATGCAGTTTCAAACATCACGGTGGCAATCGGCGCGAGTACATCAACAGTCAGAGTATCAGAGTAGGCTGTCTGAACGGATGAGTTATCAAGTTATCAACATCATCTTCATCTTCAACTCATGTTCAAAGGAAATGATCATTGATCGATATCGGATCAGCACCATCACTGCGGTCATCGCCGGGTACTTCCTCACACAACCGTTCATCCGTTCCTCTTGACTCTCATGTCGTCTCATGTCTCATATCTGCTGCTAGCTCTCAGGCTGTCAGGCATATGTGTTGACTCGACCATGTTTTGTTGTCGCGTTCTCACTGTGTGCGGATGACTCGTCTCTTGTGATTGGACATGTTCATGCAGGCTTTCCTGAAAAAACACGTGTCGGAAGAGGACCTGGATGGGAAAGGCCATAAAATGGCGCAGCTTGTAGACGGGAAGGCTCAGCAGCTGTTCGAGGAGTTCGAAACACTGTTCCACGACACATCTGCGGGGGCTCTTCTGAGCATGCAGGAATTTCAAGCGTTGTCTGCAGTTGAATCGGACTTTGCTTTGGGTCTCTTGGCTCAGGCGCTCATGATGAATGCGTCTGGATTTGACAGGCGTGTGCGCCAACACTGCCTGGACTTCCCGCACCTGCTCCTTGTGTTAGCACGAGTACGCCCAGAATTTCCGGACAGGAGCCGTCAAAACATCGCCAAACTGTTGTTGAAGTGTGCAGCTGGACATACTCTTGATGCATCCACCAAGAAGATAGCCTCAATTTTCCAAGATGATGTGCAGAAGGCGGCCGACGATGGAACCCTTGGTGTACGCATGTACATATTCCTGAGGGCTTTGCGCCGTCTATGGTTTTGTGATGTGCGGGAGAACGAGCGGATTAACAAATGTCTCAAGTTGTTGGGGCAGAGATGCCCAAATGCAAACCTAGATCTTGTCAGCGCACGCTGTACCTTGAAATACATGCTTGGCACGGTAGGAGCATTACAGAGAGGACTGGACGTGAATGTCAAAACACGCAAGTGGTCACACATCGCCCCTTTGGCAGCAAGCGTGGCAGACACCTGCCTCGAACATTGGCAGGCGTCACAGGAGGTAATGGAGCAAGAGGAACGTTGGGCACCGGCCAGCACACCTCCATGGATGCCAACCCCAGAAGCTGTTGCTGCTGATGCTGCGTCCCCAGCTGCCACAAAAACTAAAGCGCCCAAGGTAGCAGCGTCGAGTCTTCTTGCCGCACATGTCAACAGAAGCCTCTTCCGCTTCTACGACAAAGGCGAATATCAACGCGGTGCTGAGATTGAGGTTCCCCCGCTGACGGCCGTGCTGTTTGTCAACAAGAAACAAGTTGCCCAAAACTCTTTGTGCTCTTTTCCAGATGCCGCAAACATGTATTTCATCAGCGAATCAGTTAATCGTGCTATCCGCTTGTTGAAGGGAACCTTGCATCATACGACTGATGGCTTTGTTTGCAAACCAAATCGCCCCTGGACATTTGTTTGGGCAGCAGACGCCGTGATGGAAGTTGTCAAAACCACTCCCAAGTCTTCGTCGCAGTTGGTTGCCGTTGCTGTACCTTTGCAGTGGTCTTGCAGCGCATCGTCGATGGGGCTAACAGGAAGAGGGGCTTGCACCGTGAGGGAGGATGAGCGACATGCACGTGTGGCCGAGGCTGGATCAGCTGAGCATCTGCCTGCACGGTTTGCTTGTGCTTGTGCTGATGTTGGTTGGTTGGCCTGGTTGGCTGTTTGCATTGGTTTTGTTCAGTGTTGCTTCCAGGGATGCTGAGGCAGCGCAGTGTTAACACTGTAGTAGCAATTGTAGCAGCGGTTGCTGAGTGGCAGAGGCAGTTCTTGTTTGTTACTAATGTCACTAATGTCACTGATACATTGCTCATATCGCCCCATGGTGCCTATGCAATGCCAATGTGACATGTGCAATAACGCCAGTCACTTATGTCACCGCATTTGCAATACCGCCTCAGACACGAACATGTTGTAGATGTAGATGATGTAGTCTCTCAGCAGTACGCTCACTATACCGTCACGGTGACCGACGGTGACCGAGTCCTTGTCCATGGTGTCGCTTCCATTCCTCCAACCTCGTCCAACCTCCAGCCGTAGTGCTTGCCGCATGATGATGTGATGATGTGGATGATGAATGATGATGATGGTTAGTTACTCGTCGTCGATACGGTTATTTATGGCGGTTATGACGGTTTTCGATCTCGGTCTGTAGCGTGATGGGAGGTCTGTGATCTTCAAATCCCATCAGCGGCTGATGAAGCAGTCGTGCAAAGTCTGGTCGCCTCCCGGTCCCAAGCCCAGGGCGGAGAACCCCTCAACAAGGATGCTAGCAAGGCTAGCAAGGAGTCCACGGAAAGTTTGGTGGAAGTGCCGCCGCTACCGAGTTCCAGTTCATCCAGCTCCAAGGGACCCGAGCCTGCGATCACAGAACCATCTCTATCCCCTTGGATGGCAGCAGCTCTGGCAGAGATACGACGCAAAGAACGCGAGGACTTCCGTGAAGGTGAAGACCAGGCCGGTGACGACGAGCTTCACACTGAGAAAGATGTGGACACAAACTCGGGTCTAGATGCAGGTAGGTTACAAGAAGTTCTGCGTGGGGCTTTCGGGCTTACTGATGCGTATGATCTCGAGACCGCGGACTTGCAAGCACTGGATGAGGAAGGTTCCTTGTCGTCGGCACAGGCCAAGGAGGAGAGATTGATAAACGAGGCGTTGGACCAGGGCAAGGTCAAGAAGGATCGATTGTCGCAATTGTCGCATGTCGTGACATCCATGATTGATGCTGGCGCAGACCCAGAAGATGCGGTGGCCGAAGCCATATTGAATGATGTGCAGGTGATGGGCAACTCAGACTCTGTGTCTGTGAACGAACACGACGATCCAGATCCGGAACAGTCCGAACATGCGCCTGCAGCAGAACCTACCAACGACAGCATTCCTGTCGCCTTTGGGGTATGGCAGGATGCGGTGAACTTTTCACTGGAATGCTTACAGGAGCGGCGTCAAGCATGTAATGGCAAAGCTGTCGGAGAGAATAAAGAAATTTCACTTGTCCTGGGTAGGGTGAAGCAGCCACGCGCAGAAGAAGAAGAGGAGTCTGTTTTCTTTGTGACATGGACGGATCCAGCAGCGGACAAAAGGGAAGGGCGACCGGTAAGGCTAGATAAGGAAAACCGTGTCGTGTGTGTCGTGGCCACCGGAGACTTGCGCGTGGCGAGGGACTATAGAGATGTTCAGATCGTTCATCCTGCGTGTGGTGCCCGCATGGAGCGTACTCGGGGCTGGAGAAACCAGCTTCGCCCACAGGTCTCGAAGAGCGTTATGCGGTTGAACACGATGTGGAAAACAGCTCTGCTGGCTCGGGATGAATTGAGGATGCGGCGCGAAACGCCCAATCAGGCTGCATGTCTCGCTGACACGCAGCGGCAGTGCTTTGTCTGTGAGACGTCGATGGAGCAACCAACAGATGCAAATGGACCAGTCGACGATGCAAAACTCATTTGCTTGTGCCCCTGCTGCACATTACCTTCGCACGCGGCTTGCTGTCAACAGGTGGTTCGATATTCCGAGACACATGGCATTGATCTTCGTGCATCTGTGGATCTTTCCAATGCGGGGATCGCAGTCCTGGATGAACCTCCTTTCACTTGGCAAGATGCATCGCGTCTTGCTTGCAAGTAGCTCAATTAGTTGTCCGGCGTCCGCAGATGACCTACAGTCTGTAACTGGGCCAAGCTAGGGTAGCGGCGGGCCGTGGTTGGTGATGCTTCATTTGGAATGATTTCTTCGAGTTGCACACATGACATGTACTGGCATGTGCTGAGTGTCAACTGCCATTCATTCAGCAGTTGGTGCACTGGCACACTGGGTTGTTGCTGATTGCTGTGGCTTCTGCGGTTGCTGTTGTTATTGTTGTTGTTGTTGCTGTTGCTGTTGCTGTTGTTGTTGTTGTTGTGGTGGTGGTGGTGGTGGTGGTGGTGGTGGGGGCAGTGGTGGTGGTGGTGGTGGTGGTTCTGGTGGTGGTGGTGGTGGTGGTGGTGGTGGTGGTGGTGGTTGTTGTTGGCAGTGGTGGTGTTACGGTGTTGTTGCCGCTGTCGTCGCTTGCTTTGCTCCGAGGTTTCATGCGGCTTCATGTGCGTCACGTCATTGCATTGCATGCCCATGCACACGTCACGCCGCCGGCTGCCTGCATTCACTCTGCCGCTTCGTTGTTCTGCCACGGACTGACGGAGGCTACTATGCGCCGTCTGCCACGGCTTGTTGAACCCTGCGGCGCCTGCAGATTCTGGAGAAGAAGGTCGCGGCGTTGATGTACTGGTGTACTGCATTGGCATTATACTGGCATTGATTGATTGATCTTACGTAGGACTTGCAGCCTGCCCCGCTAAACCCGTACTATTCTCAGTACATTCCAAAAAAATGTTACAATCAGCCTGAGTGAGTGTTTGCCAGGTCTTGAATCGCCAAAATCGGCGGAGGCTGGATC